CGGCAGCATTCAATGAAAGAAGTTTCCTCTGCACTGGCTCCTAGAACATGTGCTCTCCCTTTTGTTTTACCTGAAGATGCTGCATGGTTTTTATTTTGTAGATGCCATTGAAACTTCATGAATCAGCATATAGTAAGTTAAAAAAAATTCTCATACTCATATTTTAGAAAATACCAAATATTCTTCCAGGACACACAACAAATTCATCTATGGCTGCAGCTTTAAAGCCCGACAGTACTGAGTGTTTGGGGAGGAAGTGACACCACTAGGTGGGGAGCATCTCAGAGGCATGGACCAGGTCTGTTGTCTCCCTTCTTGTCTCCAACCTCTTCAACACAGAGATGCTCACCAAGTGTTTGGGGAATGAACGAACGAATGAATGAGGGAATTGCTGCAACTTAACATCAACTAGGACCCCCTTCTTCCCTCTGCCCCAGATGCTCACACAGACCCTAAAGAATCCTCCGCCTGGCAGGACCAACCATCCAAGCTTAGAAGAGGCTGTGACCCTCAAGGGTCAGGCAGGACCTGACCAGCTCCCTGGTGCAGACAACATGGACCAGAAAAGCACCCCAGATGGAAGGCCCTTAGAGACTAACTGTGTCCTGTGACTCAGATGTTCTCAGAGGTCCTGGTCCAGGCTCCAGTGCTGGAGGGAAGCCCCCAAAGTGGAGGGACTTGTCTGTTCTCCTCTGGGTGGGTCTTGGGGTGTCTGGGCCATGGGGTGCCACTCACTCTGAGCAGAAGTGGACAATCAGGCCTGTAGTTCCCCTTCTGTGAAGGGCTGAGGCCACTTGCTCCTCCCTAGCTTCCTGTGTGTCTACCATCAGCATCCCCACCCACTCGCCTTACCCTTCTCTTTTCAGACACAGGACAAACTCCCAGAACTCTCCATCTCAGAGATGCTGCCACTGCTGCTGTCCCCGCTGTTGGTGGGTGAGTGGGGCGGGGGCTGTGGCTGACCCTGTTTCTCTTCAGGGTCCCTCGCTTAGTATGACAGACACATACTGGAAGTGCAGGAATCCGTGACTATGCAGGAGGGCCTGTGTGTCTGTGCCCTGCACCTTCTCCCATCCCTGGGACTACTGAAGTGATGCTGCCCCAGCTCATGGCTACTTGTTCCAGGAAGAGGCCAATCCGTATCAGGATGCTCCTGTGGCCACAAACAATCCAGTTCGTAAAGTGCAGGAGGAGACTCAGGGCCAATTCTACCTCCTTGGAGACCCCCAGACCTACAACTGCTCCCTTGACATCAGAGACACCAGAAGCAAGGACAATGGAAGATACTTTTTTCGGGTGGAGAGAGGAAGTAAAAATGGACTTACAAATTTAAACATCTCTCTGTGCATATTACGGGTAGGAAATGGGCTTCAGGAATCTCCACAGGGGAGCCTCCTGCACTGGAGGTGCTGGCACAGGGCTGGGATGGGACCCATCTTCTGGGAGGGGTTTGGGGTACAGTGATTCAGTGATCAGTGGTAGGAGCTGGACCAAAGCCGCAGGCTTCTTTCAGGGCTATCCCTCAGACTCTCCCTCCGATCCCTGTGTCGCCTCCTCTTCTCACCAGCCCTGACCCACAGACCCCACATCCTCATCCTGAGGACCCTGGAGTCTGGCTGCCCCAGGAACCTGACCTGCTCTGTGCCCTGGACCTGTGAGTGGGGCACACCCCCCATCTTCCCCTGACCATCAGCTGACCTCACCTCTGTGGGCCCCAGGACCCTCCTCTCCTCGGTGCTCACAGTCACCCCATGCCCCAGGACTACGGCAGCAACCTCACCTGTCAAGTGAAGTTCCCTATATCTGGTGTTCCTGTGGAAAGGACCATCCAGCTTAACATCACCTGTGAGTGCTGGGCCAGGAAGCCTGGGTCCCTGAGGGTGTGAGGGACAGGAGGGCCAGGCTGGGGATGCTTGGTTCTTTTTTTCTGTGGGTCAGACTGAGTAGGGGACATAGGAGTATACAATCCATGTCCCTCCACCATTTCTGTGGCTCCTGGGGATTGGAGGGTGCCTACATTTATCTTACCTCACCCTCCCACTGAAGGGGGAAATACCCTCTTCTCGTCATAGGTGCTCCAGAGAACCCAGAAAAAGGTGTCTGCTTAGGGGTTGGCACAAGTAGGAAGGAGTCCCCAACAACGGTGTGGGGTCTCTACCAGGTCAAGTCAGAGCTGCATTTTCAGAGCTCTGATGGTGTGGGTGGGATGGCGGGGCTGCAGTTAGACACGAGAAGCCCCTGTCAGACGACCTCTCTTAGTATCCTCCTAATCCCCTCTTATCAGGATAACATGCAACCTCCGGCTGCCCATCCTAAATGGGCTCTTTATCTTCCTCCAGTCACTGAAGGCCTTGGGGGAATTTTTTAGTAGGCTTTGTTATTTAAAGAAGTTTTAGGTTCACAGCAAAAGTGAGTGGAAGATAGACAGATTTCCCCTATACCAGCTGCACTTTCCCGCATGTGCGCAGCCTCCCCACTATCAACATCCCCCACCAGAGCGTACGTTAATTACAACCCATGAATCTGCATTGACGTGTCATTATCACCCAAAGTCTGTAGTTGACATTAAGGTTCACTCTTGGTGCTGTACATTCTATGGATTTGGAGAAATGTACAATGACATATACCCATTGTTATAGTATCATACAGAGTAGTGCCATTACCCCCCAAATTATCATTGGGCCCTCTTTTGACTGTTAATCTGTCACCCTCACCTTGAACTCTCTCTGTAGCCCAGCTCCCCCCACTGCTCTATTCCCATGGGTAATGGCATCAGGTCCCTTCATTGGACAGGGAGTCCCACTGGGGCTTTCTCAGAGGTGTCCATCAAACTGTTGACAGGTGATGGACAGAGATACATCCCTCACCCTGGGTGTGGGGTTCCTGGGAGGCATGACCAGGCAGATCCAGGAGAGCTGTCTGGGTCTGACTTGCACATCTGAGAACTGCCCAATTCCACCCCCTTATGGTGCATGAAAGACTGCTTTTGACCCCGAGTGATGGGGCCAATGGAGGGGAGGAGAGGAGATTCAGACACCATCCCTGGAAGGAAGGAAGGAAGGACAAGGCCTTTCAGCATCCAATGGGACTCTGGGTTGTCTTTCTCTCTCTGTGGAATGCACACGAGGCACAGAGCCTCACGCTCCTGCTGCAGCCAGGTATGGGGGCTATTGCTGAGGGACCCTGGGTGGAGAAGAACCTGGGTCCTGGAAGAGATGGTGTTTCCTGGAAAGGAATGTGGGGGCTGGATAGGTGTCACATGGACCATGTTCTTCTAGAGAGAGCTGAGGACCTATGCTGGATGGGAGAGGAGAGGTGATCCTCTCCACATGCTGGAGGAGGAGGGGACACATGTCTGTTCATCAAGATTGGAGTTCACCCCAATTCTCTCATGTCTGCAGGGAAACTGGGTACCATGTCAGGAGTGATTCAGGGGACCATCGGGGGAGCTGGTGTCACTGCACTGCTTGCTCTCTGCCTCTGCCTCATCTTCTCCATGTGAGCTGGAATTGATGTAGAGCAAGACGTGGGGAAGAGGTACTTGGAAGTGCTGTGAGGGCCCAGAGCCAGGACGGGGTTATGGTGGTGGTGAGAATCCAGCTGGTAAGCCCTGAGCCAGGCATGAGTATGTTCCCAGCCCTGCTTCCAGACACCCTGGAATGTGAGTACCGTTTTACAAAATCCTGTTATGAAAGCTCCTGGCTTCACCTCTCAACCTGCCTTAGTCACTCACTCTAGCCTCAAAAGAGTTACGTGTGTCAAAGATTCTGGTGTCTCCCATCAGAGTGAAGACCTGCAGGAAGAGAGCAGCCAGGACAACAGTGGGCATGGATGACATCCACCTGCCATCAGACCAGCTTCCCCAGTGAGTGACGTGGTCATCCTGGCATGCAGTCTGCCCGCCACATCTCCCTGGGGTGGCCCAAAGTCGTGCTCCGTTAAGCATGAACAGAACTAAGCTCGGCGTCTTCCTGTTTGTTTGAAAATGTAGGTGTTATTATTACAGTCATGAGCCACATAATGACATTTCAGGCAACAAGGAACTGCATATATGACAGTGGTCCCACAGGATTAGTACCATACAGCCCAGGTGTGTAGTAGGCTATCCCATCTAGGTTTGTGCAAGTACACTCTGTGATGTTCACACAATGATGAAATCACCTAAAGACGCATTTCTCAGAACATGTCCTCATTATTAAGTGACAACTGGTGTATTCAGGTATGTGAGGCCAACACATCCGGAAAGTTGTTACTCACAGTTCCCAAGAGGAGAGGAGATACCACACCACACAGGGCCATGTAAGGGAGCACCAGGGTTGGTAAAGAGGCAGAGGGAGCAAGGAGAAAATGTGAGCAGGAGCATTTATTGTGGTTTCCGTGGGAAAGGCAAGGTGAGGCAGAGTAAGTGGGTTTAGCACCAGCTAGTTTGAGTAATTTCAGCGGGCTCTGGGAGTAGGGGCTGTCTCCAGATATGTGGTACCTGCCCTTGGGGTGATTAGGGCAGGAGGACAGTCTGGAGTGTAAGAGCTTGATAAAGGGAGTGGTCGGGTGTGAGCTTTGGAGGGGTTGGTTTGCAATATGAAAGGCATGCTTACAGGCAAGTCCTTTACTATCTCTAGAAATTCACTAGCCCTGGCAGGGGCACTTCCAGGGTCAGAAGTCCTCAAAGCTCAACACATCAGGAATACGTGGTTAATACACCTCCAAACATACTTCTTCTGCTGGGATCTCCATCTCACTGATGGCACTCATCCCTGGCACCCAGCAGAGACCTAGCTTTGTGGCCCCTAGTCCTCCATCACCTCTTCCTGCACCCATATGCTGCAAAGCTTGTCTGTGCTTCTTCTGAAAACATCTTAATACAACCACTCCCTTTGAGCTGAGCTCCCCTCTTAGTCTTTCTCCTGCTGTAGCCCTCCCATCTCTCCTCCCCAGCACATTAGCTTTATCTCCATAATGAAATGCACTGCTTCTTCATGCTGCCAAAGACAAGCATCCAAACAACCTGGACTGGCATCTGGGGCAGGAAAATCAGTGTCACCTTCAGTGTTTCATGCCTCCCTCACTGGCATGCTCGTTCACCTCCAGCAGAGTCAGCTTTTTGCATCTCGGAATCATTGCTTGGCTGCCGCTCCTCCTCACATGCCTATATCAACCTGCTCTACTCCTGCTCATCCTTTGAGCTCTGACTTCCATTTATTTGTTTAACTCTGAATGGTGAGGACACCACTGTGAGGGTTTTGAGCACACGGTCAGCAATCACCTGTCTTTCATCTACTCCAGCAACTATCTCCTGCTTGTCGATTGTTCCGAGGGCTTGGGTAATACCTGTAGTTTTACAAATACGTATGTTACAAGTGTAAAATCTCCCTGCTGTGAAATACTTACATTTATTGGGGACAGGGATGAAACTAATGAGCAAATAAGTAATGAAAATATACAGGAAATATGTGCTCTAGGGGGAAATGAAACAGGAGACTGGGGAAAGGCAGTCCTGGGGGCTGGGATCTTTGAGAAAACAACTTCAGGAGATGAAGGAGTGCAGTGTGAGCCCTGAGAGAGGATCACCAGGGCTCTAAACAGACAGAGCAGCAGATGCTAGAGCTCTGAGGATGGGGCATCCCTGACATGTTGGAAAAACAGCAAGTAAGACAGTCGTCTTAAATAAGAGCTATGTGGGGTGGGGAGTGGGTAATAGTGGGGAGGAAATGAGGATGAAGAGGCATGGAGGCTGCAAATATCATAGGGTCCTGCAGTTCACCATCATTACTCAGGTATTTTGAGAAGAGTGACAACTTCTGTGTGTGTTCCCCTTACTACTCACACAGAACACTTCACTTCTGACACTTTTGACACCAGATGTGTGAGGGTTTTCCCCACACCGTGCAGTTCTCCATGACACCAGCTGGGTATCCTACAATTTAACTCAGTTTTGACCCTATCGACTTGGAGATAGCATCAGATTCCACAGGTTAGGTCTCAGTCCCACAAGAGTGCACCGCCTCAGACTTCAGATCCCAATCTCAAGTCCAGGCTGTCCCCTGTGTTTCTGACCAACTGCCTATAAATTGGAAGTCACCCTGGCCCCCTCCTTGGGTTCAATTAGTTTGCTAAAGTTGCTCAGAGAATTCAGGAAAGTAGTTTATTTACTGCACATCAGCTTATTATAAAAGGATATCATGAATGATACAGATGTACATCCAGATGAAGAGGTGCATAGGGCAAGGTATATGGGAAGGGGTGAGGAGCTTCCATGCCCTCTCTGGAGCACCATTCTCTCAAGACCTCCACGAGTTCACCAACCAAGAATCTCCCTGAAACTCATACTATTGGGATTTTTATGGAGGCTTCATT